AGAAACCCACACTGTGGATCGGACTCCTGAGTTATCTGCCTCCATGAAAACAAAAGATTGTTTAAAGTACGAGCGCTTTGAAGCGAGCGAGAACATCTGATTCCACTTATCCAATGAGTGTTTTTCCCTCTGATATGAAGGGGGGGGGGGCTCCGTTCAATCCACGCTCAGCATTCCTCATCTCCTGTCGCCCTTTTCCACAGATTACAACAGTAGCATACCTGAACTATGACGAGACGTCAGCAGCGCTTTGATGTTTCTTATCTTCTTGTGTTTGACAGGGACCGGTCGGCCCGCGGGGGGATAACGGACCACCAGGGCCCATGGGTCTCCCCGGCCCTCAAGGACCCAGCGGGATGTCAATTCCAGGAGAGGCTGTGAGTCCACACACACACACACACACTTTGAGCCACACAGGTCGGCCAGATTATTCAGAGAGTTATTTATAGAGGGGGGGAAACCTGAGGCGGAGACATGACTCAGAAGAAGAAGTGAAACCAGAAAATGCTGATAAATCAGAGTTTGGATCTCGGGAATGAAAATGTTCCCAAATCAAACAGAAACGTTCCCTGGTTTCGTTTCCAGAAGATCAGAGACGGTGACATTACTCAGAACATTAGTTCAGGTCCTGTCCTCAAGAATGTGAACGGATCTCAAGTGTTTCCAGAATCTTCACAGACACTGTGAGATTTTAAACATCCAGCACATGATGTTGATCTGTGTTCTTCTCCTGAAGGAGCTTCATCTCCATCCAGGTCGCGAACAGCTTCAGTCAGCTGCTTCTCCACCAGCACGTGTGAAACATATATCACAGCAGCAGCTTCATGTCAATGTGTTGAAAGTCAGACAGAACATTTTCTTCTAGTTGTTCCTGACAGAAGTGTTCTGTCTCCTCAGGGCCGCCCTGGACCGAAGGGAGAGCAGGGTGACTCGGGTTTACCTGGACAGAAGGTAAGTGCAGCTGAAATAAGAACGTTTGGGCTCAGGGATGTTGAAGAGCTGAAGCCACGTGGCTGCAGGCGAATGCTTTCCCAGCTGTGGAGGATTCAGAGAGAAAAGAGGGAGTTTGTTTCTCTGAATATTACTTTTAAATTAAACTTCAGCGGTGGACGAGCCAACAGCTGCTGCGTCCTCCCCCTGATGTAAGTTATTTATCTGAGAATTTACGAAGAGCTGCCGTCCAACCTGAGATATTTGGCAGAGAAAATCACACCTACGCTCATAAAGAAAGTGTTGGCGGCGCCGAAGCTCTGATTCATCGACTTACGCTGCGATTCCTCTACACGACGTTTTATGAAGTGGTACGAGATGGAAGTTCAAGTTTGATTCCTCTTTCTTCAACTGTTTTCATGAAAAGTGCAGAATCATTCAGAGGAGGAGGCGTTAGACCCGAACACAAAGAGATTCATGGAACTGGAACAATTAAATTCAGAGTCGGTTTGATTCGAGGTTTGAACTGATTTAAAGCTGCAGTCGGTGAAACCACGAGAAATAATATTGATCGCTGAGTCTCTTCCTCGATGAACGACGGACGCTGAACATTCAGGGATTCTGATACGAGTGGAAATCAAACCTGTGACACAGCAGCTGTTTAGAACCGGGGGACATATAACAACATAAAACTGTCCGACAGTTATCGTGATAACTAATAATCACTTCCTTCTTTGTGTTCGTGGTTTGAGCTGGGTCCGCTCTGTGTCCACCCTCCTCACTGCCATGATTCAACTTTCCATTGATAGCAACACATTGTTTCACTGATCGGCTCCAACAGCTGCAGTCGTCCTCTTCCCTCGTGACCAATCAGCTCGTCAATAAAACGGCCTCACTGGGTGAATCTGTGTTGATGCTGCAGGTGACCATGTTGGAGCAGCTGCCATGGCAACGTGCACTTAATGACTTACAGACCCCGGTTTATAATGGCCAATAAAATGGATCTGGAATATATTATGTTCCCTGTAAATCTTATGCATCAAAGAGCGGAGAGGACCGACAGTAAAAATACTGCGCAGGGTTTCTGAGTAAATGAGCGCAGTTGGACACGCACTGATCCGGTTCTGAGACAGACAGTTTGAGCAGAGGTGGCTTTTTGTTCACGGTCTGATTTGTGTGTTTTCAGGGTTCACCTGGTCCCTCGGGGGCTCCCGGCCCGATCGGACCGGCAGGAGTGAGGGTGAGTTCAGACGAGCTGCTGTTAATGACGACTCTCTGATCTGAATCCTGCTCGGGGTTTAAGTCCTGATCTTTTCATTCCAGGGTCCTCAAGGAAAGGAAGGGCCGGCTGGACCCAGAGGCCCCACAGGGCCCATGGTGAGGAAGAGTAAACCCAGCTGAGCGTTTAAGTGACGAGCTGGTGTCAAGATTAAACCTGTGATGATGTTCACTTCTCTTTAATTCACTGCAGGATAGTTGCCACGAAAGCGATTTCTTTATGTTTGAGTCGTTTTCATCTTTTTCTCTCCGTGTCCTCGCAGGGACCCCCAGGAGCTCCTGGAACATCAGGTGCCGCAGGACAGCCAGGAAAGAACGGAGACTCTGGTCCCCCTGTGAGTGTCCTCGCTGTCGTGAACACTTTGTGCGATCGCCCGGCGTCATCAGAGTTTCAATGTTTTAATGTGTTCTGTGTTTTCAGGGCGCCATCGGCCCCAAAGGAGACAGAGGAGAGAGAGTGAGTGGATCTAGTTTTAAACCTTTGTCAGGACAAATGTTTGACTGAAGTCAATCATCCACATCAGACTGAGATTCCCACAAATACAATTTATAATAAAAACAGGGAATCAGAATAAAGACAACACATCACACAACCGTCAGGAAGAAAAATTAAAACCCTTCCTCTCTGTGCTCAGGGTGATTTCGCTCCTCAGAACATGATGCGATCCATCGCCAGACAAGTTTGTGAGCAGCTTGTGAACTGTAAGTGGTTTTAATCGTCTTGATTCCGTTTGTCAAAGTCTCTGGACTGAGTTTAAGTCTCCTTCTTTTCTGCAGCGCAAATGTCTCGAGTCAACACGTTACTGAACCAGATCCCCAACGGCATACAGCGCAGCAATAACCCCGGACCTCCAGGACCTCCCGGAACTCCCGGCAGGCAGGGACCCCGCGGAGAGCCGGGCACCGCAGGAAGGAACGGTTTCCCTGGAAGTCCAGGTCAGCCCGGACAGCAGGGAGAGAGAGGTAAGAGCCTGTGAATCTACCACACAGCAGGAGTTAGAAAAACAAACCTCAGCTTCGAATGAACACCAGAGATTATTTACAGAGCGAGAGGTTTATTTAAAAATCACAAAACCATCACATTACATGTTAACAGGAATCAGCTCCTCTGATTTTCCACTGTTGAGTCACATCCTCCGGCTCCAAAATCGGAAATTTCAATTTCTGCTTTTTTTCTGACGATAAAACAACGTGACACTGATTCTCTGCGTTTGCTTCAGGTCCCGCAGGAGAGAAAGGTGAACGAGGACTGTCGGGAGTCGGACAGAAAGGATCGAGAGGACCTGCAGGTACGCCCCCAGTTATTCTCTGTCTGTTAGCCTGCAGCAGCTAACGTTAGCTCGCAGGAGAACTTTAACTCTATGCAGATGATGAAACGATTAGTTCAAGACAACCGGACCTTTTTTCACTGTGGCTGACGTGAAGCCCACGAGTCCAAGAGAACATGTCGGACACATGAAACCAGTCGGGATCAATAAAGAATCTTTTGTGAATCACACGGTCGTTCAGGGCAACTTTAAAATCTTCATCACACGACTCTGAAGCTTCTTCTGCAAAACTCAAACATCAACCACCGAATCATGATGTCATCCGACCAGCGCCTCCGCCGATCACCGTCCGCTCCGTCCTGCGTCCGCGGATCAGCGGCCAAACTTCAGCCTCGCAACCTCCAGAGCGTCCAGTCAGTCAGCTGGAAAAAAATCTGTTTTCTAAAGCAAACCAGGTCGAGTTGTGGAAACAGGAGTCAGGAAGTGGACGGCAGTGAGTCACGGCAGACGAGGTTCATTCACAACACATGCAAACGGCGTCGAGGAGGAGACGGACCAGCAGGGAAACTTTCCAAGTGGGCTTTGTCCACGTCTAGACATAACGCAGAGGGGGGGGTCAGCAAATCCTGCCTCTCTCCCCCCCCCACACTTATTTTTCTGTCAGCAGTTACTGCAGCTTTTCTTAACAGATTCTGTTTCCAGCTGGAAAACGCAGCGATGACACTGAGCCATAATTATCTGTTTGCTTCAGAGATCGCGACGCGCTGCCAGGACGCTGAGGCAGTTTAACAAGAGAACAATAAACTCAAAATCATCACAAATCAATCATTAAAAACTTTTCAAAGCTGAAGTTCGATCATAAAAACAAATACATGAAGAAAAGTTGCTGCGAAACTCAAGAGTTTCTCAGAATCAACATTTTCCACATTAAACGTTTTTCATAAAATCTCTGATTAATCTTTTGTCCACAATTTACCAAACGTGGACAAAAGTTCCAGTTTCTTAACACAAACGTCGACTGTTAAATATAAGAATAGAACAGTTTGGTTTTCTATTGTTCTATAAAAACACAAAAATGTTACGATAACATCCTGCGTCGTCATTAAAAAGCAGAAGGTTGAGAACGTTCGATAAACGAATCATTAAATGAACAAACGTTAAAGTCTGAGAAATGTTTCACTGGATCTGGTTTTGTAAAAGTTAAATCTCATAATATAAAGTTGAATTTATTTGACTCCTTGTATATTAAGTCACTGATCGATTCTTGAAGTTAGAAGATTTGAAAACAGATTAAAAAACGTGGCTCAGTTGATCAGATAATAAATGATGAACCTCCCCTCCCCCACAGGTCCACCAGGAGAAGGCAGGACAGGGTCTCCAGGCCCCGCAGGCTCCACTGGACCCCGCGGTCCCCCTGGACGTCCAGGGCACGCTGGAGTCCGCGGTCCTCCTGGATCTCCTGGATACTGCGACTCCTCTCAGTGTGTCGGTATTCCTTACAACGGGCAAGGATACGTAGGTAGGTATCAGGAGCCACGAGGACTTAGGTCCTGATGTGATGTGTCAAACAGTCACTGTTGATGTAGAGAACTCTTTCATTCTGCTGGAGGACAGTTCAATCTGGGATGAAACTATTCAAACTTTAACATTTTGGGAAATTCTCTTGTTCTCCGTCACAGCCTGAAGTCAGATGAGATAAAAACACAACTTTGTGAAAACAACAGTTCAAATAGAGACGAGTGTTTTTGTTCTGTGTGAATAAATCCGTTAATCATCGTCCGACTCGGGTCCGACGCTCAGCAGGAGAATTTCCTGGTACTTTTTCACGAGGACTAAATGCATGTGTGGAAACTAGACGACTAATCATTCCAGAGAAACGTAGAAGTTGTTGATTTGCTGTTTCCTGCTTTGACCTGACACCTTCCATCCTCTGGCCTGTTTCAGGTTCAGCATAGTAAACTTTCTGTCACCTGTGCTGCTTTCGCTGACTTCCTGAAAAAACCCAAAACTCAAAACGTCCTGTAACTGAACGCTCGCTTGCTCGCTCTAGAGCTGTTTTAAGGGATAACGGCCAACGGAAACCATTAACAAACTGTGCTGAGAAACATCACAACAACAAAGAGGGAACCAGTACTAACAACGACTCACAGCCACTAGACAAACAGCAGCAGCGGCGGTGAAGACACCGAGCTGCTTAACGGCCTGTTTGAATCTCGAAGACCAAACAAAGGAACCTTGTGTTCAGTGGAGGAGCATGAAACAACAGCAGCAACAAACAACCCACACAAATACTAACAAAGGTGGATTTGTATCAGAGCAACATCTGCATCCTCTGCAGCATCACGGGCAACAACTGCAGCATCAACCCTGTTAACAGCATTTCTCTCCAGGTGCCGTGTAAATAAACTAATGTGTGCTTTGTAAATGACGTTTGAATCAAGTCCACGACATTTAGTTTTGACATCTGTAGTTTTAAAGCTTGTGCCTTGCAAACAACAACCTGCTGCTTGCTGAATGCCAACAACTCTTTCCTCCATGTGTTTGAAACTGCTCAGGGTCAAACTGAATCATTTCTGCACATGTGACCCTGGAGGCTCAGAATCCACTTCACGAACAAAACCAACAACAAATCCAGCTTTTCCTTTTTGTTTTGATCTGTCCCCCCCGAACCAGCCGAGCTGTGTGTGTGTGTGTGTGTGTGTGTGTGTGTGTGTGTGTGTCATGAAATACTAACAATGGTCCCAAAGCTGCCTCTGTTCTCCAGAGGAACCAGATTTGAATGTGGACGTGTTTTGTTGTTTTCTATCGTCAAATGAACGAGATGTGGAGAAACACCTGAACTTCAACATCCACAGCCAATGAGAACGATTCCAGCACCAGGGGAGTGTCCACAGTGGGGGGGGGAGGGGTCAACCACCCTGAGGTGAACGGAACCAGCAGCCTCCTGCGAGAGCAGCGTGAAGTCCAAACTTTAATAGTTTAATATAAGAAAGTTAAAACGATTTAAACAAGTCACAGAATTCTCACATTTGTAACTGACTCACTTTTTATATTATAATATAATATTGACTCACATGTTCCAGTTCCTCGTGTTAGAACGCTGTTAGCTTTGGTAGCTAGCCTCTTACGTAGCTCGTAGCAGAAGAATCACGAGGGCAGATTTGTGCGACGCTGTGGACACGCCCCTCTGCTGACCAACTATCTGCACCAGTGCGTCATCAGTGCGGCAGTAAAACATTTCAAACCCTTCTTCTTGTGCATGCTGAGAAAAACTGACCAGAAACAATTATCGACCCAAACACTATCTCCGAGCAGGCCAATACCCTCCTGACTCCGAAACCCGAGTAGTCCCGGAACCCGAGGAGGAAGACGAGTCGTTTAACCGCCGTCGAAAGAGATCGCTATCAAGAAAAGCCTCCGACAGCCTAACATCATAAGACAAGTCACGTCCTTTTGTTTGTGTCTGGAATCATGCACATCACACACACACACACACACACACACACACACACACACACACACTCACACACACACACACACTACACTACACCTCAACTTAATTGGAAAATACCAAAGTGCCTAAAAAACGTATGTGAATATTTTTGTGGCAGGTGAAGGTTTGAACGAAGTTTGAGTCAAAAGAAAAGAAAAACCTGTGACCGTCTTTTTCCACTTGTGTCTTTAGCTTGTAACATATTTGCATCGAGTTTGTCCGAAGTGACGAACGCTTCACAAACACGTTTGTTCAGTGTCGGGACGTCACGTAGCAGTTGATTTGTTTTCTGTCACGGTTCATAGTATGTTAAATATAATCCTTCATTCAGCGTCATCACCGAGGTTTGGTTTCATGATGTCAGTTAAACACAGCTTTCATTTTGTATCTCTAGACTTGATATTTATCAGTTTTCCTTTATTCCCTCACAGCGAATTTTACCGAAGGTGGAATTGCATGTCTGTGGTGTGTATTAAGTATGTTTTGTTTTTTTACATTTCTTTTTGTTTTAAGCAGAATATAGTTGTTCTCATTCTTGTCATTCTCTCAGTATCGAATTCAGTTCAAACCTGCGTGCAAGACTATGGACATGGTGTTGCTGCTTCATGTTTAAACTGCAGATTGTGAATTCCACAGCCTTATTTTCTTATTTATTTCTGAAAACAGAAGAGGCATTTTTCAATAAAACTACTGAAAATTTACATCCACGTGGTTTTTGGTCTTTTTGTTCATCAGACTCTTGGTGGTGGGGGGGGGTTTGATGTTTGACAGATTGAGGGGGACAAGTTTCCAATGAGGACGTGATGTGTAGGACGTGTAGGACATTTGAGCCGATCACACACACACAACTGGAGTATCTCCATTGGACAGACGGACATATGGGTGACTACAGGTGCAGCACTGACACTTTGGTCGACTGGACAGACACTTGGACACTTGAAGCATCAGTGGGACACATGAACGGACCATAGACGTACACCAGCTAACTAGAGCAGCACTTTAACTGGACCTGAGCCTCGTGATATATATATATATATATATATATATATGTATATTCTGAAAGCTGATGAAGTGTCAAAGGGCTCAGACGTGGTTTAATAAAGGTTTACGGGTTTTCATCCGTCAGACCTGGATCATCAACTCTTTCCAAAAACGTAACCCTGACTTAAAGACCTGTGGAAACTTGGGCTTATCTACAACCGTCAGGAAACTGGGGAAAGTTTCTCAAAGTGCTTTTCTCCTAAACTTCTCTGAGCGCTCACATTTTTTTAAAAAATGACCCTGAGTCCAGGAGCTGTCGAGGATTAGAGAACTTCCTCGGGCTGATTCGCTCATGGCTATTTTCTCTTCAGATACTTTCCCTCTGAATCATCGCCACAAACATAAAGCTTAATAAGCCGCGGACATGAGCGAGGCGCAGCAACCAGGAATAAGCTGTAAACACCAGACCATGGAAACACCTCATCATCGGCGTGAGTTCATCTGCACTCGACTGTGACTCATCTGAAGCCACGGACGCTTTTATCACATTTCAGATTATCAGAGGAAAAATGAAGAGGGCAGGACATCAGATCTGAGCTGTTGCTTCATCAGGTGAAACTGTAGAAACCTTCGAGTCCACAGCTGAAGCTTATAAAAGATATCAGCTCTTCATCTTTAACCAAGTCAGACCTCGTTAGTCGACTCCGTCCTCAACCATCGAGACAAATTAGATCTAAAGGTCCTGAAATCACTTCAACAGCTGCTGACACAGAAACGCTTCTGACTCCAGGCTTCAGATTCAGTGTTTTCCACATGAAAGCTCAGATTTCCTTCAGTGTTTGTTCCTCGTACTAATTCAGACTTTTGGTTTTTTAAAACGTAAACAGTTTCCTTTCAAACGAGACCAAAGTTATGACCATGATCAAAAGGCTTGAAGAGTCGTGGGCTTCTGCATCATCTCGGGGTTTTTCCACAGAGAAGGAGGTCGTCTGGAAACAGCGAAACACAGAGACCCAGTCAGAGGATTCAAATCCACAAACTAATTCAGATTTTTAAAAACTATTCTAAAAATCTGTTCATTGTTTCAAACGTTCGTGGTTGAAGCTTCTTCACTGGAAACTTTTGCAGTTTGTTTGTTTGAACATGAAACTTCTTCAGATTTCATCGACATTTGAAAAATGAAATCATTTTTAAATCGTCTCTGAACAAACACGAGGATTCTCTTCATCCAGAGGGGGGGGGGGGTTTGACTCCATGTTTATACGTCACTGTTAAATTCAGTAAAACTTCTAAGATCTATAAACTCAGAGGAGATGAGCTCATGGAAACTCCGTCAGCAGCTCGAGGTGTCCCAGCAGCTGGGGGGGGGGGGGGGATTCATGAATCTTTGAACGAAACATTCGTCCCCAGAGAAAAGTGTAATGTTGGAGTGACATCTTCAAAAAGACAAACAGGAGCGTGAAGCTTTAAATACGTCTGAAGCTTTAAATAATAATAATAATCCTCATTAAGAATTCAAGAATTGTTCCTGTGATTAATCTGCTCACGTTTCCACCTTTATACAGTTTGTTCTCT